TCATACTGACATCTGCTGGACCCTTTGAATACTTCCTGGTTTAAGTTAGAACCAGAAATTCTGGAGCAGGAGAACTCCCAGTAGACCCCTTTAGGGGCTCTCTGACCTGAGGCGGGTCTGTCAGCCTGCTGAGATATGCAACTTGAAATCAAATTTAAGATCTTTTGCTCACTGCACACATTTAGCATAATACAACCATGGCAGAATGAGGCAGGACATCTAGGGTATAATTAACAATCACTATTCTATGATAGTCTCAGCAACACAAATGCCAATTTGCTTGTCAAATTCCAAAGAGAGAGGAAGGGACCATGTGGTAACAATACAAAACAAGGTCTTTGTTTTCAGGGCTCAGCTCAGCAACTGCTCTGTTCTTTGTGTGGCAAGAAAGAAAATCTCGTCAGCTCCTGGTCCACTGGGCTCTAGATACAAAGTTACTGTGTGGACATCATTCCAGAATCAAATTCCAATACAACTCAGTTCTCTGGATCTGTGAGGAAGTCTGTGAAGACGTTAACTGAGATCCAGGAGCCCAGTGGAGGAAGCTCAAATAAAGAAGACACCAAGTTCCTTTATTTGTGGCTTGCTGGGTACATCCTGTCAAAAGCTCTAGTATTCATTAAATTTTGTTGTTGCTTAATAAAGACAAGAAGGCAAATTGTTACTTAATAGCTACAGTTTCTTTGACAGGGAAATTTTTTCTAAGAGTGGAACTATCTGAAAAAATTAAAGGAATCTTGTTGTGGTATGCATGTTGAAAGCTATTCTACAGATAATAATAGAATTAAATATTTTTCTCCTGAAAAGGAACTATTGATTATGACATAAACAATAAATTGTTTCTCTTTTACTACATACTCTCCTGATATGAGTTGTATGATTTGAGTTGAAATTGGATTTTTAAGCAACTTTCATTCATTTTTGTCTATGAATGCGATTTTGTCTAGTTCGTTTTGTCTAAAGAATATGAGAGTTAGTTCTCATATTCTGTCGAAGAAACAGAATGAGGGAAGGAGATAAGCATTTATTGATGTGCAAGACAGTTTATATTCATATTTGAATTTGATTCTAAGATATTGTTATGCCCATATTACTGATGCAAAACTTGTTCTCAAAGAGATAATTAAATTTCATAACTATTAAGCAGAAGATTTAGGGTAGGAATTCAGTTTGGTCTGACTTCAAAGCCTATGCTCACTTTCCCTCACATAATATTGTCTATATCCTATTATAATTGCTGGATTAAAAGAAAAATTACCAGATTTTACTTATGTTTTCTTTATGTACCAAACAATTGAAAGTTCACACAATCCCAGTGTTTGGAATTGAACCACCACTCTGTACTCTGATGCGAGAGAGAATCTGAAGGTGGAAATGGCAGTATGATCAGTGGGAAAAAAAGAGGAGGCCAAACTGACTGAACTTTGGTTTTATATCCAAGGTAGGCATGGATCCAACAGCTGTGGGGCGGTGGAGGATCTTACCCAACCCAGCCTGCCTGAGGGAGGGCAGCCCACATCCACAAAACCCTGAGCCCTGCTCACTCTCTATTTTTATTTATTTATTTATTTTTTTGATGCTGGAAGCTAGTTTCCAACAAGTCCTGCTTTCCCTGGGCACAGGTTGTAAATGTCATTTATTGTGCTTTTGACTAGGTACCTTAAAAGACAACAGCAGAATGCAGTTGAGAAGCACTTTCATGATGAAATGTAATGATCTAATTTATTCATTTTGTAAATGTTTAGTGTCTTTTTTTGATGTCATAAGACAGAATACAGGTATAGGAGCCATCTAGATCTGGATGTAAATCCCAGTCAGTCACTCACTATTTAACCTGAGGCCATTATTTAATATCTCTATACTTTATGAAATGAGAATAATATCAAGCTCACAAGGTTGTTGTAAGAATTAGAAATAATATATAAGATGTGTCTAATACAGAGCCTAGTACCTTGAAGGTACAAAACAAAATGTGACTTATTGTTTTTATTATTCATACATTTAAAATAGTTTTTGTGTTATATTGATGTAACAGAGAACATGATAGATCTAGGAAACAAATAAATGGAAGAATAGGAAACTTTCCCTGCCTTTGAGACATGCACATCTAGTCCTGGAGCCAGATGCATGAACACATGATGATGGGATGAGGAAGGTTTTGTGCCTGAGGTCAGGGCAACTTGCTCCGGGAGCACCTCTTATGGTTTGTTATTAGTTAGCTTAAATATAATTATATATAGGAGCTACAAATAATATAGGATCTAAAGATGTTGGGTGCCCGTGGCATCCACCAATGCCTCACAAGGATTCCCAGCTCTAAGGTGGGAGTCTCTGGGTCAAAGGTGAAAATTAGGTTTTCTTTCATGCATCAACTCTGATAATTGATATAGTGGAAACTCTGAGCAAAGAAGTTTGCTCACATTGTAGAAGCAGCATATTCAAGAGACTGAGAATTTGGCTTCTGGAGCCAGACTGGTCTGTTGCTTGCTTGATCCTGGACAAGTTTCTTAACTTCCTTGTCCTTCAGTGTCTTCCTGTGTATGCCTGGTTCTGATCCAGGTTTTCTTGTTATGTCACATTCTGAGTTTTAGCTTTAGTTTTTATGTGCTCGTTTTTAGTCCTTTCCATACCCCACATTAGCTGCTGTTCTATTTTGACCTTTGCTAGTTTATAACAGTTTCTTATATCAGAGCTGATATGTAACAGCAAGGACTTCTCATTCTTTCTGTAATTACTTAAATTATAGTCTTTAAAATATAAAGTAACACAATATTGACCACATAAACTCCATAATCTTCGTTTTACAGTTTCAGGCATTTTAAATTAAGTACCTATTTTGAATTAGACACTTTATTATCTGTGGTACAGTCTGACAAAGATATATTTACAAATGAGAAAATAGAGACTTAGGGAAGTTAGGTGGTAATTAACAAGTGGAAGATCTGAAATGTAAACTTTGGTATTCAAGGGTCCAAAGTTTGAGCTTCTTCCTTTCTCACTACATGCTGCATCCTGGAAACTATTGTGTTCAGCACTTGGTTCTAGGACAAGTTAAGACACAGAACTTTGGAGAATATTGGGAAAGATGGAAAAATTAGTAGGAAAATGGGGTAGAGCTCCCAGAAAAGAAATGAGCAATTAAAAATCAAGTGCACTCAGGGACTTAAGGTCTAATCTACTTCTATACTTACGTACAGGTGTGAGAATCAGGCTGGACTGATTTGGGTTCATGTAATGGGGGTGAGGAAGATCAGAACTGCAGAGCAGGCATGGCAGGATATTTGGCATAGTGGGAACAGTGGGATTGTACCTCAGGGAGGCAACAAGTAGAGCTAGCAGGCTGAAGCAGACAAGTAAGCCTATCAAGTTACTGGAGTGCAAGACAGGGCTCCCATCTTTCTGGGTCCTAGTTCCTCAGAAGGTATTCCAGAGAGAGTAAAATAGGCAAGTAGCAGCTTGGCCTCCCCTTGGAGAATTTATCTTGTAGAAGGATAAGGTGCCTGGATCTTCCATTTCTAATAATAAGACAGAGATGAGGTACCCTGATTGACACTCACTGAAAACAATGGAAAACAGTGAATAAATTATATACAACATCTTATTAAATGCTCTAATGAGCTGGCAAAAAAATAAAAAGCCATGAACCAAATGAAAGTAAAAATCCACGAGGCAGGTTTTTAACATAAAGGCATTTGCTAAACCAGGTGGAAAACAGCCTTGAATAATACTATTTGATGAAAACAAAGTCCAGAGACTGCTGGACATACTGAGTCCAAAGAGAAGCTCCCAACAAAACGTTGGGGCTCTAAAGGATTTTGTTCTCAGCATAAGGGTGAGTTAGAAATAAACCCAATCATCTGACCCAGGAGGCCGAAAGGAAAACTGCCGGTCTTGATTCTTAGCACCAACAGAGAGGAAAAGTTGTGCCCTAAGATGGCCCTCACATGATTTTTCAGCCTAAATTTAGATTATCTGGGTGATACACACACACACGCGCGCACACACACACACACACACACACAATCTCCAGCCCAATAATTTTGATTAAAGTGGTTCTTTAATTAGAGGAAAGCACAATTCTCTATGGAAAAAACAATTTCAAAGGCCTCAAAGCACTTCCACAGACAAAACTCCAAGACATATGAACTCAGTCCAAAATACCAATGAGAAACAAAGAAAAATATAGCACTCTGAAAAAGACAAGGAAAAACTCAGAAGAGCTAGACCTACACTGAATATAGATATCTGACTTGTCAGATACAGAATATAAATAAGAAGATTTAATTTTTAGAGAAATACAAAAGGAATCACAATATTTGCAAAGGGCAAAAGTATTAAAAATGACCAGACAGATTTAAAATAGAAACGATGGAACTCCTAAAGTTAATAAAAAATAAAATAATTGAAATGAGAATTCAATAGATCTATTTAATTCAATGGATAATTCACTATTTAGCAGATTAGAAGCAGCTAAAAAGTGAACTGATGAACTGGAAGATACAGCCGAAAAAGTATACATTTGAGAGTATTTGTGGACAATATGAAAGAGAGATTAAGAAAAATTGAACACAGAATCAACCAGTTTAATATGTATGAAACTGGAATTCTGAAGAGGAGGAGAGAATCGGCCAGAGATCATATCTGAAGATGTAAGGGCTCAAAAACTTCTAACATTGATAAATGACATCATCATCATGCTCCCATTCAGAAACTGTGATGATTTCCCATAAGAAGAATAAAAACAAATCCATATGTTTACATATAAAAGTGAAACTGCAGAACATCAAAGACAATGACAAGATCTTAAAGATAGAGGGGAAAAAAACCAAATTACTTTAAAAGAAATGATAATTGAAAAACAGCCAGTTTCTCAATAGCAAAAGTAAAAGCTGTAAGTGAAATGATACTGTCAACATATTGTGCATTCGTTTTCTATTGTCACAAGATAAGAAATTATCACAAGTTTTTCAGCTTAAAAACACACAAGTTTTTCAGCTTACAGTTCTGTGGGTCAGAAGTCCAGGTGGGCTCAGCTTGTTTCTCTGCTCTGAGTTTTACAAAGCTGAAATCAAGCTGTCTTGATTTCAGCTGGGCTCTTATTGGAAGGGTCTGGGAAGAATTCACTTTCGAGCTCATATGATTGTTTGCATAATCCAGTTCCTTGCAGTTGTAAGACTGAAGTTCCTGTTTCTTTGCTGGCTGTCAGCTTGGGGATAGCTGTTAGATCCTGGAGGCCTCTCTCTGGTCCTCTATCTAAAGCCAGCAATAGAACCTCAAAGTCTTCTCATGCTTGAAATCTTTTGATCTTCCCTTTTGCTGTATCTCTCTTGCTGCTGCTACATATCTCTGACTGAAGGCACTGGAAGTTCTCTGCTTTGAAAGGCCCCTTTAGTTAGATTGGACCCGCCTGGATACTCCAGTATACTCTTTTTCAAAGGTCAATAGCCTTAATTATATCTACAAGTTTTTTTTTTTGCCATGTAATGTAACCTATTAACAGGTTCCAGGCATTACGGTGTGGACAACTTTGGGATGGGAGCATTATTCTGCTGACCACATAGTAAGAGAAAGTAACTATTTGGAACCATTTTTCAAGAATAAAGGGAGAATGACACTTTTAGATAAGCAGCAGCTAAAAGAATTTGTCACCAAACAACTGTCACTAAAGAAAACTCCAAAGAATGTGTTTTGAGCAGAAAAAAATGCGACTGAAAAAAGAAGGTCTGAAATGCAAGAAGGAATGAAGAGTAAAAAAGGTTTTGCACTGTATAAATCAGTAGTAAGTACTTTGTAGATTAAGAAAAATAGCTTAAATTAAAATCTATGACAATAATAACGTTTAATTGAGTGGAATAAATGTATTCTAAGGTCTTTATATTTGTTCCTTGAATGCAAATAGACTTAGCGTGAAGAATGTACTTCAGGCAGAAGACCTCTGCAGTGTCTCCTGGTCATTAATCAAATTTCTTTCTTATTTTATCTATGTTAGGATCTGGAATAAAGTTACACTATCTTCTTAATAAAAGTTATAAAGGTTTCTTTTTGGAATAATTTGTAAGATAGAAATATTTTGAATAATCAGTAAAACTTCTCAATAAGATCCTCTAGTGTGCTTAATGGGAAGGTTTTTAAAAGTACCAATTCAATTTATTTAGAGATTATTGCCCCATTCACCTTTTATTTCTAGAGTCAGTTTTGGTAAATTGTATTTTAATTCATGTTTCAATTACTTATTAGCATACAAATTTCAAAACATCCCCTTATTACCTTTTAAATTCTACCTAATCTGAATTATGTTCTATTACTGATTTCTGGTATTTTTGAGCTTTTGTTTTTTGTATTGATCAAGCTTGCCAGAGCTTGTAAATTTTACTAGTTTGTTGAAAGTACTAATTCTTGGTTTTGTATATTCTCCCTATGTTTATTTTGTATTTCATTTAAAAATCTTTATTTTGGGGTATTGCAGGTATTTTGATATATATATATATATATATAACTTTTAATCTTTCTATATCCTCCTGTTTAGCAATTTTTTTCAGCTATCATGGTAAAATTTTCCTAAAACCTAAAACTACATGAAATCTTTGCCTCAATGAAATTTTCCAAGAGTCTTGTGGTTCTCTCAGGATAGGAGTTTCTGCAGGTACGCATAATGACCAAGTCCATTAAGCCTGAGACCACAGACATATTTACTCAAGATTTGACATGATTTCCAGGAATAGGGGATGAGGAAGCACAATATAGGATTGAACTCTCAAAATGCTTCTTAGATGTAGAGAAGAAGTAATCTAACCAAAAGTTAGTTTTATTTTTAGGGAATATTTGTATTTTTAGAGAAGGGAATAAAATAGGTTAAAATAAAGACTTTTCTAGAATAACACCAAGATCAGAGCAATTTTTTGTACAGGTTCCCAAGTTATTTGTCCATAAATAGATTCCTATCCATAGTCTCATGATAAATATAAGGTAAACCTATTTGATTCAGAGGAAAAGGAAAACATTATACACCTGTGTATAATTAATAAGGTCATGAGATACTCTAACATTAACAAGAGAAAAAATAATTCTCTTATTAATGTTAAGAGAATTCTTCTTAAGATGATGTTTCATTCTTCTTCAATGAAACATCATTTGATGTACTTTGAAGCTCACTTTGAAATTTTTAAGCCTATATATAAGTATTTCTAGGTATATTTATGTTATTAAAAGCAGAGGAGAAAAAGATCACAGTTTTACCTTGTATAGTAAGGCTAAAGGCAGCATCTTGCCAACTTTTTACTGAAGAAATACCATTAGGGCTTGGTTTATGAGTTATTTCAGATTTTTCCACAGGACCAGAGGAAGATCCATGTAATGCCCAGATAATTTCTTGACATTTCTTTCACAATTAAAAGTAGAAGTATGAGACCTAACAGTTTTTACAGCAATTATATGGAATTTTGGAATACATAGGATAGGTAACATAAAGAGGAGTATTTATCATTGCTCATTAATAAGATTACACCAGGAACTAGATAAGAGGCATATTTTTTTAAGGATCCATGTTAAGAAAGGGAAGGCCTTGTTCAGCCCCTATTTTGGGCACATATATTTTAAAAGGAAAATTCAAAATTGGATTCAGCTTCAATGAGAGATACCATAGTCATTCACAGGAAGTGTGTCAAAGAGGAAATGTGGTTAACAGCCACCAAGGAAGCATTGAAATAGATCAAGGCAGTAGTAGATTTCCTGTACTCCAGATGTTCCTCAGGAAGTAGTGGAGACATCCTGCATTCTCCAGATCAGTACTTGATCTGCATTTTTTTTTTTTTTTGAGATGGAGTTTCACTCTTGTTGCATAGGCTGGAGTGTAATGACACAATCTCAGCTCACTGCAAACTCCACCTGTTGGGTTCAAGCAATTTTCCTACCTCAGCCTCCCAAGTAGCTGGGATTACAGGTGACTGCCACAACAGGCACTTAACTTTTGTATTTTTAGTAGAGACTGGGTTTCACCACTTTGGCCAGGCTTGTCTCAAACTCCTTTTTAAATTACAAATTGAAGGGATATGTCACACTTATGTTCATCTTCAATCAAGGATGAATTCAATCAGGATCACAATATGATGTGATCTCAAAAAAAAAATGCAACATATCACATTATTCAGGATTTGAATTGCAAGGACATGCACCAGAATAGAAACGTTTGCAGATGCCTTAGAAACTGCACTGGCCTTCATAGGGGTCTATTAGCAATTTTAAGGTCACTTATTGCTACACATATTTAATTAAATAGAGACTTCCTGGCTATGTCCATCATTTGTGAAGAATAAATTACTAAATTTTACTGAGAGTAGATGAGTAAAGACAAGAAAAACATTTCTTAAGTGGGTAGAGCTAGGTACTGTAAGGAAGGCAAATAGTTTTCCTGTATACCTTGGCTACTACAGCAGACTATATAAACTCCTGTGTCCAAATTAGAAGCTATCTTATTATGCACATCTTTTTGGTAGAAGAGTGCCCTATTGTGGTGTACCCAAGATTAGTGAGCAATGAAATACTCCAGCACACACATAAAATGGAAAGTTTGAACACTGCTTTCATCATAAAGTAGAAAAGGTCTCTGAAGAAAAGTATATTTTTCTTCATATATTTCAGAAGCTCCAACGTTAACATCCAATCCACTTTCTCAACCTCTTCATGCAAGTTTTCCGAGTAAGTTTAGAAAAGGAAGATTTCATGATTGGGTTGAAGAGTGGAAGACACAGAGATGATGGGCTATGTGCTACTCTATTAATCAATGAAGCAGAAAATAGAAGCTATTACTTGCATTTTTTATTCCTCTGTGTAAATTCAGATTTCTATTTAGTATCATTTTTCTTCTGACTGAAAAACTTTTAAAATTTCTTGTAGCATATACATCTACCAGTGTTGAATTCTTTCAGCTCCTGTGCATCTGAAAAAGTATTTCTTGCAGGATATAAAATTCTTGGTTAATAGTTTTTTTGGTCCACCATTCCTCTAGCCCCAGTTTTGTTCCACTGCCTCCTGGTTTGTATTCTTTCTGATGATAAGTCTGCTGTCATTCTTATCTTTGCTCCTCTATTATCAATTGTGGTTTCAAAATTTTTCTGTTTATGATCTGTCTTAAGCAATTAGGTTATAATATGCTTTACAAAGAGCATACATAAAGCATATTATAACCTAATATTAGGTTATAATATTAGAGATAGAGCCTACAAAATATACACTATGCATATAATATGCTATGTGCATATAATATGCTATATAATAGCATACAATATGCTATATCTAATATAGCATATTATTATTTAATATTTAATATTAGATATAGCATATTATAACTTATTATAATGATTATTCTCATTTGGATTATTTCAGCTTTTTAGATCTATTTATTGTTTTCACCAAATTTTAAAAGATTTTAGCTATTATTTCTTCAAATACTATTTCTTATTCACTCATTCTTCTCTCATTTAAGGATTCCAATTACATGCATATTGGGCTGAATGAAAATTTCCCACAGCTCACTCATTCTCTATTCATTTTCCTCCCATTTTTGGTTAAAATTTTATTTTATTTTGAATAATTTATATTTCTATGTCTTCAAGTTCACTAAAACTTTCTACTGCAATATCTAGTCTGCTGTGAGTGCTATCTAATATATTCTCACTTCAGCCTTGTAGGCTATATCTTTCCCTGTTCAATTTGGGTCTTTTAAAAATATATCTATAGTGTCTTCACATGTTCTTTCTTCTACCTTCTTAGCATACTCTACCTTCTTGAAGATAAAGCATAAATTTATAGAAACTATTTTAATGTTGTTCTATACTAATTCAATCTTCTGAGCCATTTTAGGATCTGTTTCTGTTGATGGAGTTTTCTTATTATGGATTCTAGTTTCATGTTTCTTTGCAAGGCTAATTATTATTGATTGGATGCAAGACATTGTGAATTTGCTTTAGGGGTGCTGGGTATTTTGTCTTCCTATAAATATTTTTGAACTTTATGCTAGGATGTAGTTATTTGAAAATGGTTGGCAATCTTTAGAGCCTTCTCTCTGTGAAGCTCTCTTATCACTGGTAATCTGCCCTATCAATTCCAGCTGCCTTGGCTTCTAGGACTCCTAATACCGTCTTCTCAATTCAGGAGGACTACCAGTCTCTGCC